TCACTGTAACCAGGAAGCAGAGAGAAAGAGAGGAGCAAGGGGACGAGAATAACACTTCCCACTCAAGCCCCACCTCCTAGTGGCACATTCAGCTATAAACTCGTCAATGAATTAACCCACTGATGAAAATAGAACCTCATGATCCAGTCACCTTCCAATCACACACAAGACTTTGGAGGGACAGTTTAGATCTCAGCCGGAACAGGCAGAGAAAGCACAAGGTGAACCTGAGCCATAAGGAGGAACAAGAAAATTCTTCATAAAAAAAAGACCATTTATTAAATGTGATGTGTATGATAATTACAAAAATTGTCACGTTTTTGTACTGGGGATTGAACCCAAGGTCTTCACACTGACCTACATCCTCAGCACCCCCTCTTTTTTTTCTGAGACAGGCTCTCTCAAGTTGCTAAATTGCCCAGGATGGGCATGAACTTGTAATCCTCCTGCTTCAGCCTCCCAGAGTGCCGGTATTATAGTCATGTGCCACCGTGACCAGCTACAAAAACTGCCATTTTTAAGCCATCACTTTTACAATTAATTCAGACAAGAATAATCTATAGATGGGAAAATAACTGGGTCAAAAGGTGTTGGAGGACTCCTTGAACACCATTCTACAGATTAACTTATTCAACACTTATTCACAAATCACATTTCATGACAAAGGAGCGAGAATTCACAAGAGTGACATCTAGCCAATATTACCTTAACCAACTGATCAAACTCAGTATCACAGTAACAGAATTGACTTCTTGTGCCTCTTGATGTGACCTACACAGTATTCCTATTATTTTAGCAAAAGAAAATGTCTCACTAGAAGCTAATCATAAAGAAGCTGGGCATGGTGGGGCACACCTGTAATCCAAACACTCAGGAAGCTGAGGCAGGAGGATCATTATGAGCTTGAGGCCAGCCTGGGCTACAAAGTGAGTTCAAGGCCAGCCTGAACTGCAGTGAAATCCTGTCTCAAAAAGGAAGAAGCAGCTAATCATAAGGAAAGGGACAAGTCCAAATTGTCGGAAGACAATTCTACAAAACAACTGGTCTGGACTTTTTCAATTATGTCATTCATGGGCCAGCGATTTAGCTCAGTGGCACAGAGCCTGCCTGGCAAGTGTGAGGTCATGAGTTTGATTCCCAGTACACCCCCCAAAAAAAATCTTACTCCTCAATTATGTCATTCATGAAAGATCTCCAACAATAACAAAAAAAAATAAAGGGGGCTGGGGAAAACTTTTACATAAAAAAAAGCAGAAAGGTAACAAAATACAGCCTGTACTCATGGAATAAATCCTTGATTAAATACTCTGGTTTGTCTTCAGATCACATAAATCTTTCACCTTTTTAAAATCCTTGAAAAAAAAACTGGTATAAGACATTTCAGGGATACATATAATAATATAATAAATTTCTTGCATGTGAAAATAGTATTGTGCTTGTGTTGTTTGTTTTTTTTTTTGTTTGTTTGTTTGTTTGTTTGTTTTTTGGTTTTTCTCTGGTACTGGGAACCAAACTCACGACCTTGCGCTTACCAGGCAGGTGCTTTGCCGGTGAGCTAAATCCCCAGCCCTTGTGCTTGTGTTTTTAGAAGACAGCATTTACCAGTAAAATTCTCACAGCATTTAGAAAAAAACACACAGCCAATTGTGGTACAATACTATTGGTTAACTGATCCAGATAAAGGTGATATGAGTGCTTATTGTACTATTCTTATGGCTTCTTTGTATATCTGAAATTTCTTCCATTACAAGGAGAGAAAGGAAGCAGCTGGACACACCCAGGTTCCTCCTCACATCACTGTTGATTTATTGGTAGGAAGGTCAAGAATGGGAGGTCTCCAGGTCCATGTGCTTAAAGGCTTGGCTCCTAGGATGGAAACTGCTGTGAACCTTTAAGAGACAGCGGCTAGTTGGGGGTCCTTAGGTCATTGGAGGTGTGCCCTCAAGAGAGTGTAGAACTCCACTTATACCCTCCATTCCTGGTTTATGATGTTCGAATAAATAGGGACCCGCCAAAGGTGCAGAATGAGGGGGAAAGCCAGACTCCTAGGATAACAATCTCATCTGAGCCACTTGGCTTTATGAGCACTTTGTATTTCAGCTTCCATATCTGTAAAATGGAGCAAATAACAGTGTGCCAGGGTACCTGAGAGTTAATCAATACACAAGCGCATGCTCGAAACAGTGCCTGACACAAAATACATCTTCATCAACCAAAACCAAGGGCAAAAAGAAACATTGTAGAAAGCAGATATGGTGGTACATGCCTATAATCCCAGCACACTGGAAGGCTGAGGCAGGAAGATTCTAAATTCCAAGGAGCCTGAAAACTTCGTGATTTAGCAAGATCCTACCTCAAAATGAAAAAAATAAAAAAGACCTGGGCTCAGGGGGAGGGTCAGTGGAAAGATCCTGGGTTCAATCCAAGTGCCTGAAAAAAAAAAAGAAAGAAAGAAAGAAAAAAGAAACCTTGGTTAAAAAAAAAAAAATTAAGTCTTACACCATACAATGCTGACAGGGGTAACACTGCCTACCTCCCAAGAGGCAGTTTCTAGTTGGTGCTCTCCAACTAGAGTATGGTTCAAAGTCAGGACTTAGACAGAAAGACTTGTGGGGAATCAGAACTAGGACAACCAGATGACCCAGGACTTGCTCTGGCAAGTACAGCCCTGCCAGACACTCTCAGGAAAGTTACATACACAAGCACACAAGGCAAACGCCTAACCCAGAGGGAAACATGCACTTACTGTCCAACCAAAGTCAGGGAGCCTGATGGAGGCCCCCAGATTTTGTTCACCAAATCAAGACAGCCCACTGGGGATGCTGATAGATTCTGGATAACTTTGTTCCCTTTAGCTGAGACACCCCCATTCTATGCCCTACACAGACCCTAGCATAGATCTGCTCCTCCCCTGCTTCCCTGGTATGGATAGCCACCTCTACTTCCTGCCTCTAGGTTCCCACACTCAGGAGCATTCAACATAGGACAGTACCGACTGATCCAGCCTTTGATTCCACATGGGGCTCTCCTACAGGGATGCTGTGTTCTCTTCATTCAAACCCCATAGCAATGGACAGGTTGTGAACACTCACTCATGCCTTCCAAACTGCATCTGGACAGCTGGCAGCACGGGCAAACACTGCCAAGGGAAAAGGAGTTAGGGACATCAGTGAGCTCTGTGATACAGGCAGGAGATGTGGGACCTGGAACCAGAGGCACCCCAAGGAAGACAGACTTTATCTCTGAGCCTTAGCGGCCTTATCTGCAAAACTGGGGCCCAGGAACTAGAGCAGGATAATGCTGACCTCTCTATAGGTGTATGTAAATTTTAAAAGAATTTAATCATGAAACCTTACAAACCCCTGGGCTCTCACCCACAAGACTTTATATGACACTTCCTCCACAGGTGAGCCTTTCCTTGGCTTCTGTTTCTGCCAAGGCCACTTCACAACCAGTCCCCCCACTGTGTAGAGAGCAACCAGAAGCAGTGAGCACCGGGCTGTACTCAGGGAGCCCATGGAGCCATCACCGTCTTTCTGGGTTCAGTAGAGGCTCAGGGCTTTGGCCACAAGGCAGACATTAGGGATGAAGCAGATATTCCAAGCAAATGACACAGGCACAGAGCCAAGAGCAGCGGTGAGTCCAGGTTTGGAGCCTGGCTAGAGCACCACAGGGCGGTGCACACCTCTGAGCTCCCACATGCAGCCTTGATATTGCTCACAGATGACCCTGGGCTCTTCTGCCCTTATGGGAGCCTTCTTCCATTACAATAACATGAGAATTATACTTTCCACTGCATAGATATAAATGTGATTATATTAATGTATGTATATTAAGACATTTTTACATAAAAGTTTATTTTTTTCTGGTAATTGTAAAACGCTTTTGCCAGACCCTAAAAGTACAGTGGGCCTTTGGCCCTGGCTCTTCCATGTCTAATGGATAAATAAATAAATCCTGATTTTAGTACATATTCTTGGTGCAATTCGGGGGCAGCTAAAATAGGTAGAAAGAGTCATCTGGTTGTCATAGTTCTGATTCCCCGCCACAGACGGACACATACAACCTCCAAAGAGTGCTCCCAAAGCATTTAATCGCATCACATAGTTGGGACTCTCCTAAGTGTCCAGCACCGCTGCGATGTCTCTACCGCCTGCACAAGGTGCTTGGCAGACTCCTACTACCCTTCCGGGGCCGGGCTCTGAACTAAGGACCTCTGCAGGGCAGCCCCTCAGTGAGTGACACTGTTGGCACGAGGCTGGCATGAGCCCACAGTCAGGCAACGCCTATAAAAGCAGATGGATCAGCGAGCTGCTCCGGGTCCGAAGCCCTCCAGCCTGACCCGGTGGCTGGACGGTCAACACCGCGCGCCGCGCCCCTCCCGCCCGGTGGCTCTCTGCGCCAGCAGGGCTCCGTGGACGCGCTCCAGAGGCTGCACCCTGGAGGGCAAAGCGCGCGACCTGGGAGGCGCTGCAGTCCAGGTGCTCTCGTCAGCCGGGTCAGCCCCGCGTCGCGTCGCGGGTGCAGAAGCAGAAAGCGCCCCGCGCCGGGTGGACGTCGCCGCCGCAGCGGCTTGGGGACCCTGAGCACAGCGCGGGCACCGCCGTCCGCCTCCGTCACGTTTATCCTCCGTTCATCGATCCAGGGGAGGCCGTTTGCGGTGCGGTGGCCCAGGGCAGAGACCTGACCGAGACGGGCTGAGGACCGCTGGGTCGGACTAACAGAGAGGTTCCAGCGCGTCGGGGGAGAGGATGGACCGCTGCTGAGCAGGACCGCGGGCCAGGACAAAGGTCCAAGCCCGCACGCCTCGCCTGCGGTCCGCGACGCCCGCAGCCGCGGTCAGTTAAACCGGCAATGACGTCTGAGCTTCAGGGTCCAAAACCGGCAGAGCCTATAAAGTCCAGGAGCACAGGACTGGGGCTGAGGGGCGGGTCCGACGGAGGGGGCGGGACGATACAAAATGAGGCGTGCCATTGGCTGAACCGTGGGGGGGGGCGGAACCTGAGTGACAAAGGTTCCAAAGAGTCCAGGGTCCCCAAAAAGGCTACTAAAAGGGGCGAGGCTTGTGGGAGGAGCAGAGTGGGGCCACAGAGAACCCAGGGCTTGAAATAAGACCCTGAGACTCCAAGGGTCTTCACACCTACGGGCCCAGGTCTGGCACTGTGTCCAACAGTGCTCACCGAAGTGTTTTGTGTTTTTTGCCTCTTTCCTTTTTGTTATTGTTGTTGTTGTTGTTGTTTTATTAACAGGACCTCTCTGTGTAGTTCTGGCCCGCCTTGAACTCGCTGTGTGGCCCAGGCTGGCGATGAACACGTGATCATCCAGCCTCAGATCCTGAGTACAGACGTGCACCATCACACTCAACTAAGGTTTTAAAAGGCCAAACCACTGTGGAAGAAAGGGGTAGAAAACTGGAAGGCCAGAGGCTCTCACAATGGGAAAAGAGGGTCCATTTCACAAGGAAAACAGCAACATGACTTCACCAGCACATAAAGCCGAGAATGTTTCAACAGAAGAGGAAACAGCCTAGGGGAAAGTTATACAAGGAGTAAGTGGAAGCCCAGATCCTAGAGACTGGAGCTGCGGTCCTCCTCTGGAGGAGGGACCTGCCTGCACACTGCGGAAGGACGGCAGACCACATCTGCACAGAAGAAAGCACTGGGCAGACATGTGGCTAAGCTCTCTGGGAAGAGAGCTCCATGTGTGGATCTTGCACCTTTCATCGTGAACAGGGAGGAGAGAAACAGATGAGGTGTCTTTAGCAGGAGTAAGAAACAAGCCATCCAGGAGAAGGACCACCACCATACACACAAACTAGTGTTGGGTGGATAGGGCTGGGAAATGCGGTGAAGATGAAGTCAGAACTAGTGAGGACCCAGCCCAGCCTGACCTACCTCCATTATCCCCCAGCTCATTCCTGAATGTCCTCCTGAGGGTCCCAGAATTCCAGTTTGTAACACTAAGAGTGTTAAGGTGGCTTCAAGCGTGAGAGGACAGTTCACTGTATAGCAAATATGGCCAAGGTCAAACCCAAGTTGAAGCCAGCACTTCAGGCACTCCTGCTCCCCCAAGATGTGGCCTAGAGCAGGTGCTGCACAAAGGGCTTGTTGCCACAAAGGGGTCCAACTGCCACCAAGAAAAAAAAAAGGTCCCTGTTTAGTTTTTCCCTGGCTGATTGTGTGGTCCTTGTGGAGCATTCCCCAGAGCAGCTGCCAGCGCTCAGCATGGGATCTGGCCCAACCCCGCTCTGCCCTGGGAGTGCAATCAGCCTACGGGCTAGGAAGGTCCCTTGGAAGGAACTCCTAGCTAGGAGCAGAATTCCTGCCATTTGTGCCTCTGCAGAGCCACTGTAAGAGAAGCAGGCTAGAAAATGTTCGGATGGGGAGAGAGAAGTACACGGAGATGAAAAGCCCAGCCAAGCCATGCAGCAAGAGGGCAGAGACCTGGCTTCTCAAGCCACAGTGATGGCTGCACCGGAAGTCTTTGCCTCTCCTGACCCACCCACACCCTTCTCAGCCCTGCTCTGAGCCCCTGAAGTCTCCCTGTGTAGACAGCAGAAAGAGCTGAAGGGAGAGAAAAGAGAGTAGGGACAAACTCCCTGCCTGTGAGGTCACTGCAGCCTATTTCCCTCCCTCCACCCACGGTCACTGTGTCCTTTGGGGTGGTCCCTTCTATACTATTCTTGTTCCCTGGAGCATTCCTCCTTTGTGACTTCACCCACTGAAGCCACCCAGGAAACAATGCTCAATGTTCCATCCTAGAGTCTTAACCTCTTAGGAAGCAAGGACAGCAGGCCTGGCCAGCCCAGAGGACTCTGTCCACAGTGTACCTGAGGTCACTGCTGCTTCATATCCTGCAGAGATGCAGAAGGCAGCCTCAGAGGCACTGGGCGCTCCTAGCACCATAGATGATACTGCCATCCTCAAGCACTGAGGCTACATCATGGAGGTAAATTTGGGAGAGGGCTTATACACAAAAGTCAGATCAGCACATTCTAGTCACTTAAAGTTCAGTGTGGCAATAACGATCATCAACTGCAAGCAAGCCCCTGAAGACTTCCTGGAGAAATTCCTTCTCTGGGTAATTGTGATTCTGGCCATGCTAAATCTCAGCTCCATCATCAAGACCGATGAGATCTTTGAGACATCAAACAGCAAGGTCTGTATCAGACTAGAGCTCCAGGTAGGGACACCACCTTGAACCCTTGCAAGAGAATGTTGCTCAGAAGAGCTTCCACCAGCTCTCCTGGCTGTCAGATGTCACCACAGCCTAGATATTGTCCCCAGAGACATCAAGTGTGAGAACGTCCTCCCTGGCAAGGACATCAACATCAAGCTGTCTGACTTCAGCTTCTCTAGGTGCAGCCTGCAGGACAGGAGTGGCCAACTGACATTAAATATCGAGCCAGTTCTCGACAGTGCCTTGAATCACCTCACTCTGTGAATCACCCCATTCTGCAACCCAGCAGAAGTGAGAGCTCCCCTGATGGCCCAGATGTTCCACAGTCCTGTGTGGCTGAACCTACACCCAATTCCCCTGCAGCCCCAGCCTGTCTCAAGGGGTGACATCCCTGCTAGAGCTGAAAAGCTGGACTACCAAGTAGGACAGGCATCTTCACAAAGCATCCTGTGAGCCTCTGGTGTGCTGTGGTGGGTGTGGCCTCCATTTGACATCACTGGCTGCCTCTCCCACCACACGTGCAATGTCCCAGGCAGTCCTCACCTTGCTATGGTGGCCCCGTTCTCTTCACCTCACTCTGGACAACCTTGTGGGAGCCTAGGGTTTAACACACACAAAACAAGAGCATTTCATTTCAACTCACTTCTTCCCCCACTAGCTGCATCTCCACCTTGAGAAGATCTGAATGCCAAGACCCCTGGGAGAAATGGGGTCCAGTCAGACCCTAGAATTGCCCTTCCAGCACTCCTGACTACATAGGTCCACTTCCCTCACCACATAGCCCTCTGCCCTTCCCCTTGCCTCTCACTTCTACAGTCAGCCTGAATCTTACCCCCAGAGGAAAGTCCCTACTGCCTGGCCTCTGGGGCCCTCTGTTATGATTTATACCTAGATGTCCCCCTGAAGCCTCATGCAATCATAGGCAGGACTTTTGGAAAATAATTGGATTATAGGGGAATTGACTTGCTGTTAAGAGGTAGGTCATTGGGCGCAAAACCTGACAGGGTTTATCTCCCTCTCCAGCTTTATTTTACACTCTCTGCTTCCTGGATGCCATGCTGTGAGCAGCACTCCTCTGCCATGCTCCTGCGCCATGCCATCCTACTTTGGCATCAGCCACCCATGGACTGAAACCCCTAAACTGTGAGCCAAAATAAACTCTTCCCTTAAGTTGTGTCAAATATTGTGTCTAAACTATGAGGAAAGTAACTGAGACACTCTTCTAGGCCTGGCCTTCCCTGTTGACCTATCCTCCTGCTGGCCTCCTGGAACTGTCCCACTCATACCCCCATGACACACATGTGCCATAATTACACCTGTGGTCTTGCCCCTGCAGATTCTGCCCACCTTCTCAGGTGCAGCCAAGGGGCCTTGGCATGAACAGAGCCCTCTGGGGGTCCCAAACACTGCAGTCTGCTCCTATGAACTCTACCAGTGAGTGTCCAAGGTCCAGGCACGGAACAGACCCTGACACAAGCCCCCTATCTTTCCCATGAAGAAACTGGTGATAGAGGGATCCCACAGCGCATGGACCTGGCTGGGTGGGGAGGAGCTGATGGACCTCTGAGTCTCCTCTCCTTCCTTCCCAACAGGCCTGCCACGGTCCTCTAGGTGGAAGACAGCAAAGAGCCTAGAAGCATCTGGCCACAGACCATCCAGGAGTCATCCTGGGCAGGAAGACTGCAGCAGGAACACCTGCTGTGTAATTTACAGATGGACAAATACCTCAGTGAACTGTCTGAAAGCACAGCACTCAGGGCAGCAGGCCCAGGTGACTGAAGCCCACTTTTCCACAGCTGGCTCCATCCTGTTAGACAACCCTGGCTCGGTCATCTTTAGTGACCCTTCAAAGGCTTCAGATCATGGTCTCCAGTTGCTCCCCATGGTCTATTCATGCTCTTTTCAAGCAATGATCCTCAGGCCATCATGGCCACTACCCGTCCTTATCCTGCTCCACATGGGTAGTTCCTCAGACCCAGCCTCACCCAACTTCCCTCAGGTCTGTGCCCCTGTGCTCACAGCTCTATGATCCTGGACCTTTGCAAAGCCCCCACGATGTTCTCACATCGATTGCTGTGACACTGAGCCTCCCTGACCTTTTGGCTCCAGCAAGCCATGGTACTGTCAACACTAGCTCATCAGTGACCCTCAGCACCTAGAACAGACCCTCAAATGCTTGTAGAATGGATGGGTCAATCATATCCACTTTCAGGAAGAAAACCAAGCACAGAGGGCAGTAGATTTCCCAGAATCTCTGGGGCCTAGGTGCATAGGACTAAAATCACCCTGGAGGTCCCCCTTCCCATCTAATCCCCTCCCTTGAAGACAGCAAGTGTCCCAGCACTGTGTGCACATCTGGGATGAAGGCCACCTACTCCGTGCCCCAGCAACTCTGCCTGTGCCAAGCTGACACCTGCCTCTTCCAGCATGTCCTGCGTGATCCAAAGACCACACTGTCCTGGGCAAGAGTGTGATGTGAGGGAAGAGAATCCACAGAAGAGAGAGACTGAGTTGATAGAGTCAGCTGAGGTGGGTACCTGGCTGATTGGTAGCAGTGCAGAGGAGTGGGGTGAGGAGCTCACTCCCTCCCTCCCCTGTCATGCTGGGAACCAGATCTGTGCTTCTGGAAGGCTAGTATCACGGTGGGCAAGGATGGCATCGCTGATGTTTGGGCCTGGTGCTGCTCTGCTTTACACTGTGCTCCCAGGAGGAGCACCATGAGGTCTGTCAGGGGTGCCCTGTTTTCTAGACACAGGTGAAGCCTCCCTACATCTTGTCCCCTGCCAGGCTGGTGTAGGAACCACGAGTCCAGAGACACACATACCACCTCTTCCATGCGTTCCCAGGATTGGACGAGGCAACTGTGTCCCTCACCACAGTGCCAAAGCAGAATGGGGCAGAGACCTGGGCCACCCCGCCCCTGGGCTATCTGGTGGAGGCTCCTGGTTGTGCAGGGTTCCCTGCCCAAGTGTCTGGGGCTCACAGGCTTCCTCACTCCCTCCTTAACTCCAAAGTGCAACTAGAGGGGAAGGGATGTGATGAGGGCAAAGCCCATCAACCCCCTCCCCCTGCCACCCATGGGAAAGGTCCAGGACACCCCTTAGGGACACTTGGGAGCTCCCTCCCCCTGTCCCGGCTTCTGGTCTGTTTCAGTACACCGGCTATTTCCACCCCTAAAGAAAGGACTGGGATGGAGTCTCAGTGCAGTGGCTCGGTGTCAGAGGCTCTCCTGGGACCTGGCATTTTGGAGAGAGAAGAATTGCTCTCCTAACAGCCCTTAAAAGTGGAGAACACTCTTTCTACTATCCTGTATGAAGTATCTAGCAGGACCTAGGGCTGCGAGGCCCTTTAGATAGCGTCATCATTAATCTTTCAAGGACTGAAAGAGGTAGGGAAAACTGTTCCTGTTTAATAGATAAGCCGACTAAGACCAGGAAATTGACAATCACCTAGACTCATTTTCTTGAAGGGTAGGTTAGAATTCAATCTGTCTTTCTGGCCCTGATGACAGTGTTTGAACCTGTCCTGGCCTCTGATCTGCCTGCAGCCCTCCCCAGTCCGGCCCTCACTGGAGGACCTGCCAACATTATCCAAGGCAGACAATGTGGACTACCCAGGCCTCTCCAGAGGTTTTCATCCTATTCAAAAGCCAACATGGCCTCCAACCCTTATGCCTTCAGCTCTTCAATTCATTTCAGAAATTCTCCCTTCCCAGTGGTCAAGGGCCAACACGATCCCTATTGGGTTAAAGAGTAGGTGACATGGGCAGGCCTGGAGGATAGAGGCAGCCAAGGCATCAGAGGCCAGAAGAGCAGTTTTCCGAGTCAGAGGCAGGCTTATCATCAATGCCTGTCACAGCCATCACCTACTGTGTGCTGGCCAGGGCTGCCTTGGGTTGGGCACTTTTCCTGCACTCCTGACTTCCAGAATCTTCCCACCTGTTATTGGAGACGTGCTTTTTAAGATCCTTGTTTCACAGAGCAGGAAGCCACATCTCTGTGTGGGAATATGACCTGCCCAGAGCATGGGTCCCAAGTGCTATGATGACAGAGATGATAAACTTGGACTTCCTTGTGTTAGACTCGGTATAATAGTGAAGACAGCACAAGACTTGACCTCACTTCTCCAGCCAGCCTGAGGCCAGGCCTCCCAGACTAAGGTCCTCGCCCCCAGGGATTTCCGGGTGGGAACAGAACCCATGGCTGCAGGCAGATGTCTGGTCGTCACTAGGGACTGTCACCCCATCTGTGTACAGAAGGCTATCACAGTAGACTTGCTGCCCATCATCCTGGGATTCTTCTGTGAGATTCAAATAGAAATCATAAATCCACAAAGTGCAGTACTGCTAACATTCCTGACATCACCAGATGGCACCAGGTAACGCTGGATGCCGACAGCTGACACAGCCAGCTGCTGACCTCTGCCATGGCCGGCTGCTACCATCAAGGGCCAGCTTCTGCTGGACAGCGTAGGTTGGCTCTACCAGGTTCTGACCTCTGCCACTGGTCTTTGTTGGCTGCTGGTCTCTGGAGCTCTTCAGTGTTAACAGCTCTGAATGTTTATTGCTTTTTTTTTAAGCAAGCATTTTGTTCACACTACTCAGGTTTAAAAAAAAAAAATCCCAAATAGATTTACAGGATTTTTGGAGCCCGTACTACCAAAGATATAAATCATGAGCAGGTTTACAGGAACACCAAAGTGAACTTAAGTAAACTTAACAAGGCCTGTGCTGTAGCACGGTGGGGTCAGTACACAGGAGGGAGCCCTCCTAGACTAACACCCAAGAAGTGGCTGGGGACTGCTACTTACTCAGCAGCTGCAGGCTTGTTTCACTGAGGGGCAGGGCTGAAAGTTTGCTAGGAATGGTGGATATGGAAATAAAGGACCTCAGTCCCTCCTTTCCCCACCTCAGCTGCTCCAGGGTGCCCTCTTCCTTCTCCAAAAAGGCAAATATATGCTCTGAAGTAGCAGGAATTGGGAAAGGGTACCATGCTGACTGGCCATGCTCATGTTAGAGTGGAGAGTGGAGGTTTGATAACTAGGGAGGAACCTGAAGCAAGTTGCCCCATCCCATTCATGGGGCGAGAGGATGCAAAGGAAGGCCAGGGGCAGGGGGCATGACCACTACCAGTCAAGCTACATCCCCCTCCAGCCAGCGTGGAAAAAAAAAAGGGAAACTTGAGAGTTTCTCTTCTATCTCAATCTGAGCATCACAAAAGCCATCTGGGCAGTGCTCTTCCCCCCATTTTATAGCGAAGGAGACAGAGGCCAAGAGAGAAAAAGAGGCAGTCCAGTCCCACCCAGAATCTCTTCCTCCTCAGTAGCCCTCCCAAATGAAAGAAAAAGGTTGTCAGCTTAGGGGTCTGGACAAGTTTATAAGTCATAGTAAGGAGTTTGGGGCTCTGGCTTTGGACCCAAGATTTTATGCCTGGTTCTGTCACTTACTCACTGAGCAATCTAAAATGGATCACTTTGTGACCATAGGTCTCAATTTCCCTTTCTTTTCCTCATCTGCTACTTGGGCAGTCTGTTCTGGATGCGAACAAATCCAGTGGGTTAGACCAACGCGGAACCTTTTGTACGGCAGCTTCTGCTATCACCAGGATTCATTAGGGGAGGGACCCGGATCCAGAGGAACCTATGGTCCTTGGCCGCCAGCGGCTCTTTCTCAGCATTTGGAGACTGCATGGGGATGTCACACACCAGCTACCCTTCAGCAGCCAAGGAACCAAAGGCAGAAAAGGGCTTTGTCCCTGGGGAGGGGGAGGCCCGGGAAAGCATCCTAGGGATGTGGTGAGACTTGAGACCTGCCCCAAATATGGTGCCTCCAATATGAATATACCTGTCAGCCCCCCAGGCCCTGATGAGACTGCTTCCTGCCACTCCAATTCTCTCCTAGGCTGTGTCCCTGTTTCTTTGAACTGCTTATCTCAACACTGTGACTCTAGAATTAAAGCCATCATCTTCAGCATCATTGGTGTTCTGGCACAGGCCTCGGACCCCTGCAGCCCTGGCTTCCTTTTGACAAATCCAAGTGCCAGGGAGAGTGGAGAGTCTGCCCCAAACCCTGTTAAGAGGCTCAGATTCCAGCTCTGTGTCCGAATGGGAAACCAGGCAGGTGCCTTCTCTTGGAACTTCAGTCTCCCACTCTGCAAACTGCAGAGCCTAACAGTCTGTCCTTGTGAAGAAGGGACTGAGCTGGTGTCCTCAAGCCAAAGGGAAGCTCCTGGGGCACAGCAGCCAGCTATGGGGACCGTGTCTCACTATGGCACCACAGCCCAGGAACAATCACATTGAGGACCGTGCTAAGTGAGCGCTTTGCATGAACTTCCACTCTGGAGGAGATTGTGCTCTCCCCATTTGCAGATGGACAGAGGGAGGTCAGAGAGGGTCAGGGCCTTGTCCAAGGCCACCAGTTGAAGCAGCTACAAAGCCAGGACTGGAACTGCACCCCCAGTGTGGGGTTCTGGCTCTTGTCGCCCCAGCCCCTCCCTCCTGTGTCTGTTCTTTCCTCTCCTTTTCATCAGGGCCCTTGGCTCCAGGCCCGCTTGGCTGCCTCCTGCAATTAGCCCCTATCACTGTTCCGGATCGCAGCCCTGGGCCCCGTGGAGACAAAGTCCCCT